TTGAATCGTAGATTGCTTTGGGTAGTACAAATATTTAAACAATATTGATTCTTCCACTCCAGGAGCATAGGAGAGCTTTCCATTTATTTGTATCTTCTTTGATTTCTTTCATCAGTGTTTTGTAGTTTTCAATATACAAGTCTTTTACCTCCTTTGTCAAGTTGACCTGTAGGTATTTTACCTCTTTGATACAGTTGTGAATAGGACGGCTTTCTTTAATTCTCTTTCCAGCAGTGTTTGTCAGGGTGTGGAAATGGAGCAGCGCGTGCCGATCTTGCATCCCGGGACAGGGCACAGGTTTCTTTTGCTATCACAAGTCAGCAAATCTGGGACCAGGATGTTCTAAGACTTCCACGGGCAATAGCCCTCCCCCTGCCCTCTGTCCACATTGTTGCCAACTTGGTTCTCCTTGTCCCTGAGGCTCACCCTCCACAGTGTGGAGGGCGTGTGGCGATGGCAACGTGGAGGCGCAGGCGCGGGGGCCACACCAGGGCAACGGACGTCAAGAGGTCTCAGTTTAGTTCCAGCTCCACCACTGTCCAGCTTTGTAACTTCAGGGGAATCTCTGGGCCGCATCTGCTCACCTATGAAATGGGCAGAATACACTGCTCTGCGCTCCACAGGGAACCCGAGACGGCCGGGTCAGCGGGCTTGGGAAGTCACAGCCGACAGCACGGGGGGGTTGTTGCCTTTGGAAGAGAAGGAAGTTAAAATAACCCAAGCGCCGTGAGTCAGTGGCCTTTATCAAGCAGCTGATGGAGGAAAGAGAAAAAGGATTTGTTAGTGACCCTTATGGTCCCTTGTGGTGGCCAAGACAGACGCGAGCTACCTTTGGAGGGCAGGGGTTTCCACCAGCCCGAACGCGGGCCATGTCCACTGCAAGGAGGTGCAGGCCCGGAGCCCAGGCTGAGGTGTCCCTGACCATGGCTTTTTCTGGGAGAAGAGTCTGATTGTTGACTCGGCGCTTGGTCTGAGCAGCAGGCCTCTGGAGGAGCACGGACGTGTCAAGATTGGCAGCCTAGAATTTTTTTTAAATGTTTTGTTTTTAATTGATTTTAGAGAGTGAGGAAGGGAGAGGGAGAGAGAAAAACATTGATCAACTGCCTCCCCACATACCCCGACCAGGGATTGAACCCAAAACCTGGGTGTGTGCCCTGACCGGGAATAGAACTGGTGACCTTTTGGTGCATGGGACGACACCCAACCCACTGAGCCACACGGGCCAGGGCAGCCTCCCAGAATTTTTTGGTGGTTTGGACACATACACAGTAAAGTGAAGTGAAAATTCAAACATTCAAAACAGTGAGGTTTTGTGGGTAGGGAACCGTAAGTAGGAGGTAACAAGTTGTTGAACAGCCTGTGACTTTTCCCCTGCTTCCCAGATGTTTATGACCTTGGCCATTGTCTCATATGCTGTGGTGACAACTGCTGTGTACTCATGACTGACACCTATCCGGGTGCTTGCTTCTATTGGCAAGCAAGGGGCACGGAGAAGGTGGGGAGAAAGGAAGTAAAGGAGCCCCAGGATTCTCTGTGTTCTGCACAAAAGGATCTACATTAGGCCACATGGCATGTGAGCTCACAAACATGTGAGGAAGCTAAGGAGCTCGTAAGAATATCAAACCTTTGTTTTTATTTTTTATTTTTTGTTAATTCTCACCTGAGGATATTTTTTCCATTGCTTTTTCAGAGAGAGTGGCGGGGTTGGGGGGAGAAACAACAATGTGAGAGAGACACATCGACCGGTTGCCTCCTGCACGCACCCCAACTAGGGGCGAGGAGTGAACATGCAAAGGAAGTGCGTGTCCTTGACCGGGAATCGACCCCATGACCCTTCAGTGCACAGGCTGACGCTCTAACCACTGAGTCACACCAGCCAGGGTAGAATATCACCCCTTTATTTTTATTTTATTTTATTTTTTTTTAAATCTTCACCCCAGGATGTTTTTCCATTGCTCTTCAGAGACAGTGAAAGAGAGAGAGAGAGACATTGATGTGAGAGACACATCAATTGGTTGCCTCCTGCATGCACCCTGACCAGAGCTGAGGATCGAGCCTGCAACTGAGGTACGTGCCCTTGGCTGGAATCGAACCCAGGACCCTACAGTCTACGGGCCGATGCTCTAACCACTGGGTTAAACCTGCTAGGGCCAGAATATCATCCCTTTAAATCAGGGGTGGGGAATGTCCAGAGCTTGGGCTGAAATTTTTGGGTCTGGCCCTGCCAAGGCCTCACCAAAGAGAAGCAGTTCCGGCCATCACATTAGGGGTAAATTAATTCAATCTTTGAACAAATATAGCAGGTTAATTGTTAAGTTGATCATTTTGTATGTCCTGCAAATGATGTTATAAATATCCAAATGGCCCTTGGCAGAAAAAGGTTCCCCATCTGTATTAAGGGGTCATTGAAGTTAGTGGGCTCTCTTCTCGAATTCTGCAGCCTCTTTTTCTCTACTTGGCATGGCCAAGGTGCTGAAGGGGCAGATGAGTTTCCATTGTCCCAAGAGAGATCCCTTTACTGGCAGGAAGGATAACAGAGGCCACCCTCAGGCTGGAAGCAGTCAACAAACACACAGGCAAAAAAGAGCCAACCTGGGAGGCATCTAGCATTGCTCACTTAAGGGCAATTCCACCAGGAAGGTCTCTCCCTCCCAGGGCCCTGTGCAGGCCATATCAAGTCTACACGCAAAGTGCACACATGCACATGTGAACACACATGCACCCACAAATACACACCACACACATGCATGCACTCACACTCTTACACCCGAATGCACACTCAATGCCCACATATATGCACTCATACGACGCGCACACGCACGCACACACAGGGGTTTCGTGTTCCTATAAGTACCGTCCAAGCCGAGACTCGTGCTTCTTCCTCCGACAGCAGCCGTCAGGATGGGGACACGCTCGACGGCCATGCTGCTGTTGCAGCCGCTCCTGCCCCAGGCCACAGCCACGGCCCTGACACGGGAGGCCGCTCCTCGTCCCGTCAGCTAAAGCCCTCCCGCCGCACCGTGTCCACGAGCGCCAGCAGCCACCGTGCCTCTGCACCCACAGAGGCTCTCCCGGGGACAGGGAGGGAGAGCAACGAGGCAACAGCAGGCCTGTTCGCGGGGAGAGGCCTCAGGCCTCAGCCCTCAGCGAGGGGGCAGAGCAGTGAGAGCCCGGCGTCCGCGCTCAGGCCCGAGGTCACCAGCTCATCGCAGGAAGCGCCAGGGCCCTGCTTTGTGAAGTCAATACGTCTCGGATTTTAAGGTGTGTCGATGGTACTTCCTGTTGGGTGCAAAGCCTGTCTCATGGAAATGGAATTTCTGCCAGGGGAAAGGGCTGAGCATTTTCACAAATGACTCCCTCGCTATGTGGCGAGAACAACATGAAAAGCCCTTGGATGCGGGAGGTGGAGGAGGGGACGGGGGATAAGTGGCGACAGAAGGACACTTGACTTGGGGTGGTGAGCACACAGGGCAGTGTACAGATGATGTGCTGTGGAACTGTGCGCCTGAAACCTGTGTAATTTTATTAAGCAGTGTCTCCCAATAAATTCAACAAAAAGGAAAAACTGGAAATGCCCTTGGGAACCTGAGGACGGAGCACTGACCCTCACGCTGCCTGGGCGGGCGAGTGGGCAAAGGCACCGGGAAAACTACGTAGCAGCGTGCAGAAAAAGCGCCCCGGGTAAGACTCGCACACCCAGAAATTCCACTTCCAGGTGTGCGCCCAAGAGAACCGAGTGCGCGTGCCACCCGAAGACCTGCCCTAGCGCAAGGGTAGGAGCTTTATTCACCATGCAAGCGGTATTTAACTCGCGTCCACGCACGGCAGGCTGGGTAAACAAACTCCTCAACATCGCACAGCAGTGAGAACAGTCGCCCACAAACACAACATCAAGCCAGAGAAGTCAGGCGCACGGCAGTATTTCCATGTCATGGGCTCCACGGACAGAGGCACAAACCTACAAAACTCACCCATGCTTCCAGGAGGTGGGGCTCGCTGCCGCGGGGGAGGGGAGGACGGGCTGGGAAGCTGTTCCCCGATCTGGGTGTTGCACGGACGGATGTGCTGTGTCGAATCCACAGATGGAACATGTATGCTACGTTTACTTTCCTAAGTTTACATTTGTGGCAAAATGAAGACACAGCCCCAATCCTCCACGTTCTCCTGTGTGACTTTCTGTGCCTTCCCACTCGGACTCTGAGCTGGGCCGCGTGACCGGCATGGGCAAGGAGATGTCAGCCATCATGACCCAAGCCCTGCCTTGAATGAGGTTGCACATCTCTGCTTCTGCTCTGGCCCGGGAGCAACTTCCACTAAAACATCCCCACGCTAGCCTGCTGGAGGGAGCATAGCGCAGCACCGTGGCCATCAGGGCCAAGGCCATCCATCCTAGACGGGCGAGTGCCACTGACACCCACATTTGGGGGTGGGCCAACAGGAACCCAGAGGACGGTCCACCCAAGCCTCGGATGGTCACCACTTTGGCATGGGTTGTTGAGCGGCATTACTGGAGTGACAGGCAAGTGACACTGTTGTCTACGTCAATTTAAGTTTACAAATATATATAATAAAAATGTGGGGGGACTAAAAGAGGCCTCCTAACATGTTTATTTTTTAGCCTGGCAGCATCCTATAGGAAAGAGAACCTACCTGGGAACCCACAGGACCAGGTGCCGAAAGGGTCACACGAAGCACAAATAAATACAGGCGTGAGCCAGCAACGACACCAGAAAGCCAGCCTGCAGGGGTCCCCAAGCCTCCTCCTGTTCTCAGGGGGTGCAGGAGCTCATGGCTGCCTCCTCGGCCCCCATTTTCAACAGGTTTCCTGATACTCCACCCGCCTCGAGACCGGACGCCCGTCCCGGCGGTCGCCAGTCGCGGAGGGATGGATCCGCTCTGCTCCCGCTCGGACCCCCGGCAGGGCTTTCCCAGAGACGAGCACCGGCAGGCTCGCCCACGGGCTGGGCCCGCAGCCCACAGCCGAGTGACGGCCACGTTACCTGGGTTGACCTGGGCTCTGGCAGAGCTGAAGATGGGCAGCAGCAGGAGCAGCGCCGAGGGCATCCTGGGGAGCAGGGTCATCTCAGAGGCAGCGACGGGCCTGGAGCCTGCAGCCCCGCAGGAACACCGGAAAACGAGAAAGAGGAGAGGGCGTGAGTGGGCGGCACCGCCGGCACGAGGAACACGATGCACCCAATTCTCGTATTTCCAGTGTCGATTTCTGTATTGAGGACTTCAAATTATAGACTCTGGGAGCTGAATGAGGCATTCACTCAATAGTCATATAATATGAGAATTTTCAAACTCTGTGAGATCAGGCACTCATGGAATTGAAATTAGCAAGACTATAGGCAGGAAACAGTTTAACTAAGATTGATACTCAAAGTGTGAACGATGAAACAGTAAAATTTATATTTATAACATTTTCATAATTCTGATACTGATGTCCACATTAAACCAAGAAAAACATTCAGTGATGTTAATGTGTTTGCCTTTCAAAAGATGCAAGGTCAACAGTGTCCTGATTTATTGGCTCTGAAGGGACGCCTGAGACTTTTAAGTTTCCCCGGAGTGACCCCTGTTTTGACGGATTGGAGCTGAGATGTCAGCACGAGTGCACATTCCCCTAATGGAGACGCAGGTGGTTTCCTATGGAAATGTTTATAGATAGGCACACATATGCAGGTAGCATGCAGACACGTCTCCTTGCCTTGTCAGCTGAGAGGGTCGAGAAGCAATGTCACCCCAAAAGCAATGAGTTTTGCTTTCTTAAAATTGGGGTGATGGGCCGCTAACAGACCCAGGAGAACATTAGTAGCAAACCTGGAAGTACTATAACTACACCAGGCGTGTCTAACATGCGCTGAGGACACTCGGGTACTATTCAGAGCAACTCAGTGAGGCCCGTGTTCATCAACGAGGCAACTGAGCAGGGACAGGTGAGAACTGATCTGGTCACACAGTTCACAGGCACCAAACTCATCTGTGAAACATGGTTTGTATTCCAAAATCCACATGGGTTTCTCTGGCCTCCACCTCCTCCCCAGAGCCACATCCTGCTCAGCTTCCCTCCTTCAGTCACCACGGGCTTCTCCCGGTTCTTTCTTCCATTTCCTCCCGCCTCCCCCTCTGCCAGGAAGTTCGACTCCTCGTTCCAGTGTAAACCTCCATGCAGCGGCCACGTCCTCACGGGTGCTCTTAGACCCTCCTGATGGCTCCGTGCCCTGGAAGCCTGTGCACTTTTCTACACAGAGTGGTCCTAGTTCCTGACACACAGCACATCCCAGCCAGGACTGCCAGGGACGTCCGCACCGCTCTCACGCCCTAGCAGAGTGCTGGCCAGTATCTGCAGAATGACCTCAGGATTGCCCGGGACCATGTGCTCGTGGCTGCATCCAACCTTTAAATGCCACACCTAACAGGAAGTGTCCCCAGCACTCACTGCATGCAGACAGCACCTTTCTTATGCCCTGGAAGGGGTCTTTTCAAGAGCTCAATATTTAAAACTGGCCTGTGAGCAGAGCCATAAACACACTGGAAGGATGTCAAGAGCCTGGGAAGGCCACACTACCACTTCTTCAGTTAATAGTACAAATTTCTTTGACAAATAATTAATTTCAACCTGAAAAATAAAACTCAAAATGCAAATGCCCCAGTCAAGTCATCAGCCTTCATTAATTCACTCCCCAACTATTTTCTAGGGTCTTCTTGGCCCTGCTCTAGGTCCTAAAAAGGGCAAAAGAGCCCCTCTGATCATGGAGCTTGTATTCCATAAGCAAACATGTGAACCAGGAATCTGAGCCGATAGTGAGATGTGGTACGGGGACGGAGTGAGGAGGCACGTGGTCCAGAGCGGCTCCCTGCGTAAGGGGCTGGCACAGCACTAGACACACAGAACGGAAGAGAGCAGGCAACCCTCACGCACACAACAGGACCCTCCTCGATAGGCGGGGACTTGCTCGCCTCCCGCTCCTCCCCTCCACACACCTCACTTCCCCTACCTTGCCTGAAAATAAATACCCAAAATATCACTAGAACTATAAAACTATTTCTAGAAACTCTTTGGGAATTTGCTGTGAGCAGAAGAAAGACCTTCACAAATAAGATATATAAAGCAAAACTCATAAATGAGAAGAATGATAAATTTTTCCGTCAAAGTTTAGATGTCTTTAGATAAAAGACATCATAAACTTAGTGGACAAGCAACAGGCAACAATAAAGACTTGAAATTTCAAAACAAAATAATGCATATATTATATCATTCTGGTATAAATAAAAAATCTCTATAAATCAAGTTTAAAAGGTACTAGAAAAATGGGCCAAGAAAATAAAAAGCATTTGACAGAGGCGCCAATATAATTCCAGGAAACAGGTAAAAGTGTTCAGCCTCACTAGTAATCAGAGACAGGCATCAGAGCAGGAGCTGAACAGCAATTTACCAGTGTCATCCGTTGGGTTGGCAAAATCTTTAAGTGTGAAAGTATGAAATTTGGAAACAATGGGTAGAAATAGATACTCCATGCTCTGCTACTGAGTATGTCAATTAGAAGATAACTTAAATTAAAAATTGCATGTATCCTCTGTTCCATATACTCACTTACTATTATTTACCCCAGAGAAATACTTATGCATGTGCACAATTATGTAGCACAAAGATGTGCTTTGCAATATTTTTAAAATTTTTATTTTACTGTGGTAAGACACTTTCAGGAGATCTGCTTCTCCACAGTCTTCCCAGCGTGCAGAGCAGCGGCTGAGCCTGGGTCGGTGCCGTCCAGCAGGTCCCTGAACCTGCTCATCCTGCCGGGAACTTCATGCCCGGCTCTTCAGCCCGACACGCCACTGCGGCCTTTCATGCCATGAATTTGACGATTTCAGACACCAATGCAATTGGAATCGTGCAGTATTTGTCTTTGTGTGACTGGCCAATTTCATAATGTCCTCGAGACCCGCATGGCGTCCCCTATTGAGAACACCCTTCTTTCCTGGAGCTAAACAATGTTCCATTGTAGGTACACACTTTCTTTACCTGTTCACCTGTCCACAGAGAGGTTGCTTCCACATTGTGGCCACTGTGGAGAGCGCTGCCGGGAACACGGGTGGGCCAACACCTCCAAGGTCTGACCCTAATTAATGTGGGTAAATATCAGAAAGAAGGATTGCTGGGTGACACGGTAGTTTTATTTTTATTTTTTGGAGGTATCTTCCTACTGTTTCCATAGAGGCTTTGGCCAAGTGATCTTCGAGAAAGCAGCCAGGGATATACACTGAGGAGAAAACAGTCTCTTCAATAAATGCTGCCGAGAAAGCGGGACGTCCACATGCAAAGGAGTGAAACCAGACCCTTACCTTACACCGCATACAAAAGTCAGCTCAGAATGGGTTAAAGACTTAAAAGTAAGACCTGAAACTATGAAACTCCTAGAAGAAAACATAGGGAAAAGCTTCACGGCAGTGTCATGGCGATGACGTCACCGGTCTCACGTCAAAAGCACAGGGAACAGCCCTGGCCAGTGTTCTCAGTGGTTAGAGCCTCAGCCCACACACCACAGGGCCACGGGTTCGACTTCCAGTCAAAGGCGCACACCTTGGTTTCCATCCCAGCCCTGGACAGGGCATGTGCGGGGGGCAACCAATCGATGTTTCTCTCTCTCTCCCCTCCACTCTCTCTAAAAAGCAATGTAAAGAATATCCTCAGCTGAGGGTTAAAAAAAACAGCACAGGCAACAAAAACAAAAGCAAACCAGTGGGAGGGACTGCACCAAACTAAAAAGCTCCCGCTCAGCAAAGGAAACTATTAACAGACTGAGAAGATGGGAGAAAATATTTGGAAACCAAATATCTGATAATATCCAAAATATATAACAAGCTCCTATAACTCAATAGCAAAAAATAAAAAATAGGGTAAGGACTTAAACAGACATTTCTCCAAAGCAGACACAGGAACGGCAAACAGATGCATTAAAAATGCTCAGCACGGCCCAGCATCAGGAGTGTGCAGCGAAACCCAACGAGACGGGACCTCACACCTGTCAGGAGGCTATTATTTAAAAACACGTAGATCAAAGACAAGTATTGGCAAGGATGTGGAGAAAGGGAAACTTGCACGCTGTTGGTGCAGTATTTTTTAAAATAACAAAACTTGAAAAGATTTCTCTGAGTGAGCTCCCCCACCCATGACCGAGGGGACAGAGCCCTGGGCACTGGTGGGCCTCAGCCTGTCTATGCTCCAAACACAAGCCTGAGGTGTGTGTGCTTCACTGTGGGAGCGAGTGCACGGGAGATGGAGAGACAGATGACCGATGGTTGATTGTTTGACTGATGGATAATTGACAGATAGAAATGACAGATAGGTTGCAGATGGACAGATGACAGATAGATGAAGGTAGATTGATAGGTAGATGACAGATTGATTGATAGATGCTTTATAGATGTAGCTATGAGAGTTAACTGCACTTATTTGCAAAAGCAGCACCACATCCACCCCGACAACATGGGGAGTGGGTGGCAGGCGATCGGATCCTCAGGACCTTTGTCCTGATGTCATGGGAGCTCGGCCTCTGTCCCTCCCAGGGCCTCTGGAGTGAGCCTACAGCGCTCTCTCCCCTCTAAATATGAGCATTAGCAACAGCAGCCTTTTCCTCTGGAGAGGAACTGGGGCAAGTCCTGGGAAACAGCCGAGCACCACACTCATCAGTCGCGGAGAGTTTCTGGGTCCTTCCGCAACAGGTTTCCACACGGCACATTTAAAATAGCATTCAGTATGCAACCATGTCCCATCTACTCACCAGACTCCTCGATCACCGAGTCTCCACGGGACTGAAAATTCCCGCTTTACAGAAGGCCCAGGGCTGGCTGCTGCAAATAGCAAGTCCTCCTCCCAGTACATTCGGGACAGAGGCATCCACCTAAATCCCGTTGACTCTCGGCTCCCCAGGAGCGCAGCTGTGCACAAAGCAGGGCGCGTCTGGTGTGGCGGGTGCTCACCTCCCCAGACAGTCCACCTTCCCAGATCCGAAAGCTAGAGACAATCTGCTCTAGCGGATTGGGGGGGAACAAAAGTCACCGATTCCCCACAGGGACCTTCTCCCCAAGCCTGTGATGGGAC